GTGGGAGACTTGCCCGCGGGACCGGCGGCGGGGGCCCGGGTTCAGCGCCCTCCCGGGAGTAGGAGGCTTCGCGGGGCGCCAGGCAGGTGGGGCGGGGACGGGGCAGTCCCGGGCGCTGAGGCAAAGGCTGCTCCCGCTGTAGCGAATATAGCTAAGTGAAGACTTGTGGTCTTGTGTGAAAGCGCATCTCCCCACCTCCCCGGGCCTCCGTAATGAGGAAGCTGCAAGTAGGACCCCTTAGGGTGGGTCTAGGTGATTCCGCCGAGTGTGCCAGGTGACATCTCGCAGGCGTGCTTTTATGAGCTGGCAGTCGCAGCACTCGCGCGCCCGCTTTTATTTCTTGCAACGTTGTATTTCTCGGGAGTCCGATTATCGCTTACATTCCGAATTGCGAAATCGAAGTAGGCGCACTGTGTGTTTTTAATGCTTTCCATATATTTCGCTGTTATGCTTTCGCTGTGGGACTATTTGTGAAAGATAAACCATGACAAAGTCGTTTTTGTGAATGGAGACTCTAAATTTAGAAACGCGTAATATGCACTGTGTGGTTTTTCTTTTTCTGATTTAGGAAAATAGTTTTACTGACCACTTACAGTGACCTAGGCTTCTAAAATCCATCAATGTAAATCTGAGAACGCACTGGATGGTGAAAATTATGTAAGCTGTATTAAAGCAAAATATTAATCCTTTTAGACATGGAAAGATAGGTGAATTTGAACACAAGTATGGTGTATAAAAGTACGTAGGGCTATGTCATGCATGTTGCTGATTGTAGGTCCCCTAGATTTCGCCTTCTATCTTCAGGAACTTCTCTCCTTTCTGTGGGTTGCGGATTATGCGGTATGCCAAGTGTCTAGCAAAGTGTTCAGCCATGGAGCATACTGAATATTTCAGACAATACTTGAAATAAAGGTTTTGTATCCAGCAAGAGAATATAAGCCTGTAACCCTTAAACGACTATTAACAGATTTTTTTTTCCAGTCTGTGGTCTAGAGTCGGAAGTTTATTCATCTTTGGCAGGATGGAGAAATGACTGGTAATTTTAGCTACTACCCCTTTTTTGTTGTTAAAGAATCAAATATGTTAAGTGAGCCTCTAAGAGTTTTAAGGTGCTAGGCTAGATTTGTTGCAGATGTGGACGCTGATAAAAATGTGGGTCACCTGTGTCTTTCAAGCCAGCCTATCAGCTGCCTCTGATTTAAGAGCCTGCTGCGCCTCAGTTTTGCTTATCTGGGAACTTCATTCACACGTGCTGTGTAGTTAAACTTAATTAGCTTTGAAACCCTAATTAAAAATGTATGACTTCAGTCTTCCTGAGTAAAACGCTCTCAGATTTCTCTTGCAAATTTTCAAGTCTTATTTGTCAGTAGAAGTCATTGTAAGTGTCCTCTCCAAACCGCAGTTGAACGACTTCTGGATCCAATATTTAATATTTCTTCTGTTTTTCATGTACTATGACTACCATCTCTGTAGTCTGCTTTGACCTTAGGGTTCATTTTACTTGCCTCTGTGCATTTGTATTTAATTATCTCTTATGGGTTTTATTTGTATTTAATAAACTATGTTTAAAATAGTCTTTTATTTTATGATAGGTGCTTCTCTGCTTCCTCATTATAGTTAATTGCATGTTTATTCTGTCAGCCTGTATACTTTTTAGATGTTTTACTAGAACACAATCCTTTCTGAAGTATAATAGTGCTAAGTTACATAGTAACAGAACGTCTTAAGTGTTTTCATATACTGCCACACCAGGATTGCAATTCTGAGTTACACTGTTCTCTGAGTTATCACCTCTGTCTTTATACTCAGAATTCATTATTGAGTGTTTATTGGTTTAAGACAGTATATTAGGCAGCTCGTGGAATTTAGTTAAGATTGCAGGATTTTTGCCATGAAAGCTTTTAATTCAAAGCTAGAGACATGGGCATGTTTGTCTTAACTACAGGAGATGAATACATTTGGTTCTCGAAAACAATAGTAATTTATAAATGAGATTATCTTTGGCACACCTTGTGTTCTGGTAATAGGCAGAAACAGTGTCGTGGGGTCTGGTGCTTTGAGAACATTGTATGGGAGTTAGAGCTGCTAACTGTGAGGGTTAACAGGCATGCTTTGGTGAGGAAGCAGAGGGGAGAGAGATTTGTTTGACGCTGTATGCTGAGACTTTGAAAATTCCTATGCATTTTGCTGTTTATTCCATAGTAAGTTCATTCTTGTTATAGCTCTGTTGTAAAAGCTGTTTTAATCTTCATTCACATTTATTGTTGGGTGTAATATCAATTCACATTTATTGTGAATAAGCTTGGACTTTGGAGTCATACATTTTTGGGTTTTCTCTCTGGGTTCATTTCCTTACTTGTAAAATAGGGTTAACCATGCCAGTCTCCATGGTGTATTTATGAAGAGTTTCAACCGCGTAGTGGACTCAGCACAGGGAAATACTCCATGAGTTACAGTGGCTTTGGCATCGCTGTTGCTAATGCTATGCCCTGGTAATCTTTCTCCAGTAGTGGAGCTTTCTGGTGATGTGTAGTGTTGGGAGGTAGCTGAGGTGGGAGTTTCTGGATTGCCTGCAAATGGCGGTTTTAATCAGCCATACCCTTCCCCTGAGAGAGTTGTCCCTGGGGATGGCTCGGCATTTTCGAAGGTGCATTAACTCACCCCACTAGAGGATCATCTAGTGTATTGTCAAGTGTGTCTTGTGGCACCCTCCAGGCTGCCAGGAATCAATGCACATCTTGGACTGCCCGGCATGCCCCCTGGGAATGAGACAAGCTGTGAATTGAACAGGTGAAAGATGGAGTATTGACTGCAGGTGGTTTGGTTTAATTTTTTAATCCAGTTAACACTTATTGAGAAGCTATTATGCACTGACACTATCTTAAGATGGAGTGACTGTTTCTTTGTTTCTTCAAGAGCTTTTGTAAGTTGGGCAATGGTCTCTGGGATTTCCTGAGTTGAAGCAATGCAGAGCAGTAGATCCTGGCTCCATTGTGGCGTTTTTGAAATGCTTAACTGCTCCAAATTCATACTTTGGGAGTGAGTTAATCCTACTCTGGGAAAACTGCATTTATTTTATGATGATGATAAGTAGCAACAATCATAGCAAGTTTTTTGTTATGTATAATAACATGTGAAAGAGGACAGGACAGGTGTTTTTCTCATTTTACAAATGAGACTGTGAGGATGGGTAAGTGACCTGTCCAGTGTCACGAGTCTTGACAGAGAGGAGTCTTAGATCCAGGTCTTTTGGTCCTTTTTGTAGTAGAGTTTCTCAGCTTTCTTCCTTTCTTTTTAAAACATTATTTATTATTATGCAATAGGAAAATTGGGGAAGAGTGACGATTATGTTACTCTGGAGCCATTGTGTGATCACTAGAGTTCTCATCCTGGAATGTGTAAGCACCACACTTCTCCCTTTAAATGAGGAACCATCACCTTCATTCACAGGCAGGACAAACCCAGTGAGGAGGGAATATAGTTAGAAGCCTCCCTCCCCTCCCCCCAGAGGAACAGAACCATCTAATTCTAATATATGAAATACCTGACTTAGAGGTAGGGCCAATCTCTACTGATACAGCTTAGCTCTGCCAAAAGTTTGTTTATAATGGTGACTAAAAATTGAGAAACTTACATTTTACCTTACTGAACGAGTTTTTCCTGTCTCTTTCTCCCCTGACTAGGAAGACAAAGACCTGAGACATCAGCCTGTGAAGACTGAAGACCTTCCGAACAGCAGTTGTGAATGGTACTGCTGAGAGGCTCCTCCTGCAGGACGTCTGAAATGAACCTCACTTATTGATTGTTTTTATTGGCCCGGAGCCAGGAGGACTGGATTCAGTTGACTTCAGGGTACAAAGAAAACAGTCTTGGTTATCGTATAAACCTGTGAACCAGTGTGATGGTGAAATGAGATGAGGCTCCGCAATGGAACTGTAGCCACGGCTTTAGCATTTGTCACTTCGTTCCTTACTTTATCTTGGTACACTACATGGCAAAATGGGAAAGGTAAGGAAAGTGCCTCTGAAAATGTGCATGAAACCTGGTTGGCTTTTTGCTCTGCGAATGACACATAGATGCTGAGGGGAAATATTGTAGCAACCTGTGTGCTGCTTGCTCTCTGCTTGCCATTTTGTTCTGACACAAAAATGCAATCGTGTTTTTGGATGGAGGAGACAGAGTTCCTAATTCCAGTGGGGTTTGTTATGCTTTCAGTGTCTTATAATTGCGCTTGGAGGAACGGATACTGATCAGTGGTTTATATTCGACATGACAGCCAAGTTGGATAATAAAGACTTTTGTTTGGCATTTTTTTAAAAAAAAAAAAAAACTAAATATCATAAATGTTTAATAAGCTTCCTTGTGTTGAGTGTTGTATAAAACACTTAAAAGGACGCAATCAATGCTTTCATGAAATTTACATGCTCATTATGCTAATGATTTGATGATAAGTAGTTAATGATTTAAACGGAGTGAGAGTGAGTTGACAGGGTTCCTTAGGCAGAAGTATCTAAGAAGAGGATGCGGAGCAATTCTGATTGAAATATTTAAAAATGGTTTTTGTGTTTAGACTGTTGAACTGTGTTTTAAAGGCAAGTTATCTGTTCATTAATCAGACTTATATTCAGGGATAATGCCTTTCTTTGCCTTTTTTATGAAGTGAACTTGAAATAAATTTCTACGTACACTGTTATCTGTCTCCTTTCCTTATATTAACCTAAGGAGTGTAGATGGGAGAGAGATGGAGGTGCTGATGATTGCATATTTTGTTTGGTAGAGTCATAATCATCTGGCTAATTTATTGGAAGATGCCATTGCTGACATTTTGTCGACTCATGAAGGCAACTGAAAAGATTGTTTCCTGACAGCACTATTTTCTGATCTGTACTTATCTACATTGTAGATATGTTAATATATCTATGCATATATGCATATAAAATAAGCTGATAGAAGTAGAAAACATATGCTCTGTGCCTTGAACAAGTGAGGTATTATTTTCCCACTTTTTGTCTGTCTCTAATTTGGGTTCTAATTAGAGGTGAACTCTTGGGCAAACATAAATGGAAAATTTGCTAAAGTCGTTTCTTCTTTGTATACACATATGTACTTAAAAATGATTATTATTACTTTTTTTTTTTTTTTTTTTAAGAGATACTTTTTTTTTTTTTTTTTTAAGAGATATTTGCTATAGGGTACGTGTACTCACCAGAGATAGGGAGACAGACAGACAGAAAGCAAGAAATCACCCCCTGGGAGATGGCTGTGTCGTAATCCTTTCTCCTCTGTTCTCCTTTTGGGATCTTGGGCATGCACACACATGCGTCCGGCTTGAGTTTCAAGCCCATGGGTCCGGGACTCAAACTGTGGACAACTATGTGGGAGTCCAGTGATGTAACCATTACGCCATCTGCTGGTCTCCTATTTAATTTATTTATAATCTCTCTTTCATGAGAGCGTGAGCGAGAAAGAGAAAAAGACAAGTAACTCTCAAAAGGATCCCAGCCTGTGACCACCCCCGCCAGCCTTCCCAGCCAGCCAGGATCATGGGTGCACACTCCTGGCCTGTATAGGACAACCTGGGAACCAATCCCATAGTCTTTTTATATGGGTCCAGCATTGCTTGAGTAGCATGTTACAATGTGATTAAGCCAGTGAGCCCGAAATACATCGTTTTTTGATTGGTTCATCCAGAAGGCACTTGCATATGTACCAGAGAGAGAGAGCCCCTTCAGTGGGTCCAGGTCATGCTGCAATCCTTTTTAGTTTTACTTTATGAGTTCTTATTTATATTTAACAGTTGCACATCTTTATAGCATACAGTATGGTTTTTCAAAGCACACATGCAGTATGCAGAGAACTTTACATGCTTGTGCCTGTTTAATGTTATTTTTCCTGAGCTCCCTTCTACCCCCAATGATCCATTTCTCTCCTGTGCAGTCTCTGTATCTATACTTGTCCTCCATACTATTACATCTTCAAATCTTTCAATTTCTGCCATAAAATGTGACGTTTGATTTATAGTCAGTAGAGATATACAGTGTTTGTCTTTCATAGTCTGACTTATTTTACTTAGCATTAAATCTTTTACAATCATCCTCTTTGTATCAAATGACAGGGTTTCATTGTTCCTCATATGGCTAAGTATTGGGTCGTCTGGAAAGTCAGGACACATTTTTGCATAGTAAAAACATAGAAAAACACGTCATGACTTTCCTGACAACCTAATAGTATTCTGTAGTGTATATGTACTCCATTTTTTCAATCCAGTCATCGATTCTTGGGCATTTAGGTTGACTCCATGTCTTAGTGATTGTGAGTAATGCTGCAGTAAACATGGATGCACAAGTATTTTTCTGGGTAAATACCAAGAAGTGGGATTACTAGGTCTTACTGTAGTTCTATCTGTAGAGGAACCTCCATTTTGTTTTTTACAGTGGCTATCCTAATTTACATTTCTGCCTACAGTGCAGGAGAGTTCCCTTTCACCGTAGCCTTGCCAGCACTTGTTCTTTATTTTTTGATCATAGCCATTCTGACTGGGGTTAACTGGAATCTCATCGGGGTTTTGATTTGTATTTCCTTATAAGAGACAGCGAACATGATTCACATGCTTTTGGCCATTGGTATGACTTCCCTAGAGAGTCGTTTGTTCACCTATTTTGCCCACTTTTAACTTTTTTTTCAAATGAGTGAATTGCTTGAGTTCACATTCTGGTTATCAATCTTATTTGAAGCATAGTTTGCATATATTTTCTCCCATTCTGTATGTTGTCTCTTCACTCTGTTGCTTCCTGTGCTGTGCAGTAGCTTTATAGCTTGATGTTGTCTCACTTGTCTGTTTTTGGAATGGTTGCCTGTGGCTTAGGGGTCTTATTTAAGAAATTTCTGCCTATTCCAGTATCTTCAAGTATTTCCCATGTTTTCCACCAGTAGTTTTATAGTTCGAGGTGTTACTTCAGATCTTTGGTTCATTTTGAGTTGATTTTTTGTTATTGGTGAAAGATGTGGGCCCAGTTTCATTTTTCTTGAGGTGGTTATCCAGTTCTTGCTGTACCATTTGCTAAAGAAAGTTTCTTTTTCCCCACTGGATTGTCTCGTGCCCTTTGTCAAAATTCACGTGGCTGGATGTTTTGGATTTATTTCTGGATTCTCTATTCTGTGCCATTGGTCTATATGTCTTTTTGTGCTAATACTATGCTGTTTTGATTATTATAGCTTTGTAATATATTAGGTTGTTGGAAAAGTCATGATGCATTTTTGCATAGAAAAACTATGCCATGACTTTTACAACAACCAATATTTTGAGGTAAGATAGTGAGATGCCTTCTACTTTATTCTTTTTGTATAGTATCTCCTTAGCACTACGGGCCTTTTATAATTCCCAATAAATTTTTTAAATTTTTTTTCTATTTCTGTGAAGGATATCACTGATGATTTGATCAGAATTACTTTGAATTTGTGAATTTGGACAGAATTGATGTTTTGATTATATTGATTCCTCCAGTTGAACATAAGATGTTTTTCTTTTTTTTTTTTTTTTTTGATTTTATATTCAATTTCTTTTTTCAGTTTTTCATAGTTTTCTTTGTAAAGGTCTTTCACCTCTTTGGTTCAGTTTTTTCCTAAGGTTTCTGTATGTATGTGTGTCTATTGTAAATGTAACTACTGTCTTCAACTGTGCCTCAGTCTCTTCATTGTTAGTATATAAAAGTGCTATAGATTTTTCGTATGTTGATTTTGTATCCCGTTACTTTACCGAACTTATTTATCACTTCTAGAAGTTTTTTCATGGATTCTTTCAGATCTTCTATGTATCTAATCATGTACTATGCCTTCCCCTCAGTCAGCAGTCATGTTCCCTTGGCTCACTCCCACTTCTCTAGTCCTGATGAAGCAGGAGGCTGAGTTGAGGAGGTGGGGCGTCATAACTGGGCCACCGGGAGAGGCTGGCAGGTAGTTGGGGCACTGACAAACATGCTGCTGTAATGTCTTTTCCCTCCATTTCTCCATCTCATCAGGATCCTTGACACGCACACAGGTCTGGTGTGTTTTTCAAGCTGCTGGGACCGAGATTCCAGCCATAGTCGGTCATGTCAAATCCAGCTCCCTCTGTATAAGCACTTAACTACTGGGCTATGAGGCTGTGCCCCCCCCCCCAATATATACTGTTTAGATTTATTTTTTTAATTGTACCACATGAGAAGACTGAATTAGGGAGAATTTTGAATAGTTAATTTTGTCAAACTGTTGATTGTCCAGTGGTTGATGGGACAATTGATAAACAAAACACATGACTGGTCAATAACAGTCTACTTGTAAAATAAAGGAATTGATCAAAAGAGTAATATATGAATTTTTTCTTGTCAGGAAATATATCTATTTAGAGAGTTATAATAGTGGAGAAACCTTCTCACTCTTATGTTATTTAAGAGATGAAAAGGTTTTGGAATCTCAGGGCTGGCAGGTGGCATGGTAGTTGAGGGTGCTGGACTCCCACGTGGCTGAACACAGTTTGAATCCTGGACCTGGCAGTTTGCTTTCTCACTTTCCTTCTCTCTCTCTCTCTGTTCCTCTCTGGTCAAATTAAAAATAAATAAATATTTAACAAAAAAGTTTTGGAATCTCAATTCTATTTATCTTATTTCTTATATAAATAAGCATTTTGTTTAAAAAAATTAAGCTGTTCTTAATTTTTAAAAATGTCAAGATTCCTTCACCATGTGTTATTAGATAAACACACACACAGTTGTTTCTTTGGTCATTACAGCTTTGAACAGCTCTGTAAGCCTTCTGTGCATGCCCTTCTTCTGCTTTCCTGCAGAGTGTTTTGTCCAGACTCTTAGGTATCAACAAAGGTCTCCTGTTATGGTTATGTAAAATCCTCTGTGTTAAATGCTATCATTTATATAACCACTCTGACTGTTGAGTATTTGGATTCTTTCTAGATAGCTCTGGCAGTCAGACTGCTTGGATTTTCCAGGGCAGGTCTGATTTCAGATGTTTGATTC